AGCGATCTCTGGGCGACGCGCTGTGTATTTGGGCATGTGACGACTTGATTTGAAAGCTGACACCTTTCAAAATTTCGATCTGCCCGACTGAACGACCCAATGGCGAACTCGATAGAAGAACAAATGAGCGATCTCCGAGATGGATGGTGGGGGGGTCGGAGCTACAGGAGCCGTGTCCCTAGGGCCGAAAATTTCCGTTTCCCTACTGAATTGGACCGTGGACATCTCCATTCGATGCATAGCGTGGGAAGTGGATCCCCGAGTACGGAAGAGATTCGACCGCGCTTGCTGCCAGACATCTAAGGAAGCCATCGCTGGTGGAAGATTTGCTCTTATGAACACGTCGCGTGCAACAGTTTCGTCTGTTCGCCCTGGTGCGGTCTCGTTTCGAACACTCCGTTCCCAGCTCGCGGCAGCTTGACCGCGGGTAGCTCCGCGGACCCCCCCCCCCGCTATTAATTAGTGTCTGGAACTTGTTCATTGAGAATCGATAGGACAACGGACGAGTTATCGAAGCTGCTGCACATACGTTTGCGTCCGGAAGGTCGCTCTCGTTCGCCTGACACGTGAAGTGCGAAACACGCTCCGGCGAGTGCCATGCCGTCTTCGGACGATCTATTAATCCGAGCAGACAATAATGATCCTCAAGGATCCTAGAAGCAGGACAGGGCTCAAGACTGTTGCTGAGTCAGCCTAATTGCCGCTGATGGTTACGCACCTGCGGACCTCCAGTGGCAACATCGGCGTAGCATCGCGGTGCTCCTGCCTTGGGACCGAATGAGAGAAATAACAGTAATTACCCCTCATTATGCTTCGGGCGGACGCACAATAATGCTCAGTCCGCCTCCTTAGAAGAATTCGAGTCTGAAGGACGAAGTCCTTGGACATTCTCGGGGCAGATCTTGGAGATCAGAAAACAAGGACAGTTTTACCGGTACGAATTTCGGACCTGAAATGAAGCGAATCATTTCCCGATCGATCCTCTGCCGCATTCACCATCACGAACATACATTCTTACCCTTGGGAGATGGTCGTCGTCCAGGCTGCCGTGAGGATTTCCCCGGCTTTTACGTCGTGCAGAATAATAGCGTCATGCCGTTCATTGACCAAGCCCCAGGCGATGACCGTCTCTCGAGTTCGCACGAAAAAGAATCCGCCCCTCGGCGGACCTCTCCGAAGAATCCCAGAGAGTCGAAATCTGAAGATTCCGGTGGAAGCTGAAGGTTGTTTGTACCTGGGCTCACAGAGAGCGATGCCATTGCGAACCCAAGCCTGTGTGAAGAGCGAGATTGATAGAGCGGACCCGGATTCCTGAAAAGTTCCGTTTCCCCTAGCTCAGGGACACGTTCTCCTGGGTGGCATTAAGAGGCTGCGCCTCAAATGAGCCGCCCGAGTTCGACAATCCCCCATGCACGGTGCTGCCCGGTAGGGCCCGCCGCAATCATTTTTAATTTTCAACTGATCCGTTTTCGACCATTCCACTTCCTGAATGAATATCTTCTCTCATCCGTTTCTAGCAATTTCCTACTGCGGAGAAATTCTGATCGAGCTCTGGCGTCACTCTCCCTCGATACTACCTCCGATCCATTGTTCTTCGGGAGTCTCCCGAATCGCTGGAGCCTTTCGCGAAGCAGACGGTCGGTGGAACGAGCGAGCAGTCATCTGCTGGGCGTACAGCAATGAACTCCAGATGCTCCTTTTTCCCTCAGGAACTTTCCGCGATCAGTTCCTTGGACAGAAGCCATACGGGACGTCTGATGACGTGCTGGCACCGCCCTCGCTGATGTCTTGTATAAGGATCGAGTCCGCCGAGTTACAGCGAAATGAGGAGATGAATCGGTATCGGTTCTCCTGGCTGAAGGTCCCTAAGGTCCCACTCATCAATAGTGATGATGATTCATCACTTTTGAGAACAATCGATGTGACGCGTGCCTTTATGGAAGTCTCTGACTAACTGACTGAGTCCATTCTGTTGGAAATCTGAGCAAAAGAGGCTGGCGGGTCCGAGATTATTCCACAAACGTGAAAGTCTCGTGACGTGAGTGGCTCAGCAGTGTTCCCGTTAATTCACGGATCGCGTCCGAGCGAATGGAATCTCCCTCGAAATACGCTAGCCGTCCAGTGCCTTACCCGTTGATTGGTCCCTCCACTTTCCAACGCATAGAACACAGGCTCTCGATCCAGTGTCGCGCTCCCTCATTCGTTATATTGATTGATTTCTGTTTTCATTCCTGAGTCGGATCGCTAGCGTCTGGGTTCTCGATCATGCACTCCGAGCATATCCATCACTTCCCGCCGTGAATGAGGTATCGGAGCAAAACAAGGGAAATAAGCAGAGCGGTTCTCGCTCAATATAGGCTCACCTGCAGGCGCACATCTTGTCCTTCAATACCGCGGGCTTGCATGGAGGAGAAACTACTCACAGAACCTTCCACCGGAGCAACTTGCATGCATGGAAAAAAAGCGATGATTCTTTCCGCGATGCGGTTCCCCGGCCGTGTGAGTTTTCTTATGCCAAGAGTCACGTCTCGAAAATCTCATCCTAATCGAGGGTTTACGGAGTTGACTACGGAAGAAATAAATTTCATGTATCGGTCACCGGCTCCCATGACATCGAGAATGCGTCGACGATTCAGTTGATTCAGGCTTGATTTCGTCTGGAGTCTCAACCCGTTAGCATCAATGAATCCATCAGAGTAGGGGATCAAGCGCTATCCCGCGATTCGTGAAACAATGGCGATGAATGGCCCGGCCTCCGAAGGTTATCGACTCCGAATCTCGGGCAACTAAGCTCCTCGATCTTCGATTTTGAGGAGATCGAGCTCATTTAGCCCCTCCCAGCCGATTCCCCCCCCTGTTCCATTGCCGCAATGACTTTCCTCATCGGATCAGTCCCGCTCTCAACTTCCACTGCATCCCCTGCTTCGATAATCACGCTCTCGTTTTATATAGAACCCGCGATAATCGTTCCAGCACGAGCAGAGACCGACCTAACGAGCCAAGGGTGGGAATAAACGCGGAAGCGAGAAGGTGGAGAGGGAACTTCTTGACGATTTTTATGCGAAATGGTCCTCGGCTGCTGGCTCCACAGGGACTCAAGGAGAGAGTCGGGAAGGAAGGGAGAGACGGACGCTGAGAGAGCAGGAGTAAAACGAGAAGGAACGCAGCGACGAGATGGAAGATGGTGGAGTTAGACTGGGGATGAGCGAGAAGTAGGGCAGCCAGTTCCGGTCTTTACTCCCGGAAGAAAGTCTTCGGTCCGGATACCGTTACTGTGAGGACACGAAGAAATTCGAATGTGAAACGGAACTCCAGGGCTACATCGTTGTAAATGTGTTCAATTCCAGAGGTGAGAGGCGTTGCAGAGGAGGGTGAAGATGATGATGGAAAGAGAGCAAACTTATTCGTTTCTGACCGACCTGCTTCCACCGTTCCCAGCACTTTCGAACGAACAGCGAGCTCGTTTTTATGGTTAGCTGGAGCGCCGCAACCACAGCAAGCGAGACACTTTGCCAGAGAGAGACGGCAGGGGAGACGGCGAGAGACCGGGATAAAGCGTAGGACCCGTAGGGAAACGCAGAGCCGCCATCGGCTTTCTGGAACAATCCGCATAACCGCTAAAAACTGAGACTCGGACATGAGCGTACGGGAGCGCGGGAAGGGAATGCGCGTCTTCGTTGCTTCTCCGTATATATCAGCGATGCCGAAGACTCTCAGACGTCGACGACGAGTGACGCGAGGTATCGGAAACGACGAACAAGTGACCCTTCAAAGGATAAATATGGAGATGACGAACGACGAATTCGCCATTCGTGTCGGAGCGAAGCAGACAAATAGTCCAACGGGAGGTCGGTCGGTTCACCTGCCGAGAGCAGAAGACATTACAGCGCGACGAGTGAGAAGAATTTTGATATCGGATGGCGCGTCGCGTCGTCGGCTCCGATGGAATGAGGAGCTCGAGAATGGATCGACTGCCTGAGCCCAGTCGTTCGGTGGACTCGAAGGGCGATGCTCATTATTGGGACGGCGAAAAATCGGTTTCTCATCGCTTTTGCTCGTGGAGTTGCTGTCGAGCTGTTCAAACAAACGATCATTGAATGTATGATCCCTAATCGCGCATAGACACTCATGCGATCGGAAACTAGTATTCCAATCTCTGATATCGCTGATTCATTCCCTCTCGGAGCAGATCGATGGGCTCTGACGATTCGAAATTCATGATCTGATGAACGATGGGCTTTCCTTCTGAACGAAGTCCACCGAGCAGCCGAGCAGTCGGCATTGCGCCGGAAGCATCATCGAAGCGATTCCCGGGTGAACGTGAATCACGGAGGCCATCATCGAAAAGCGATCAGCCACCGTTTGCGCATCTATGTGAAGAGCGTTTTTTCGCTTAGACGTAGGAATCCCCAAACAAGTCGCTCTCGCATGCATTTCGGTGAACTTGCAGAACATAGCGAGCCCTTCGGTTAAATCCATGATTTGACTCGCCGCAAATATGTCAAAATATTTCTATCGATGGGTACAGACGTTCGCCGTGGAAACAGGAGGGCGATAGCTGCTGATCAGGCCATGCCGAATCCGCGATTCACCCGATATCGGATCACGTGCTCATTCCCTCCCGCTGCCGGGTTCTCCGGAACGCCATCCGGGATTTTGCGGTTGCCTAGACTGTTCCAATTGAAATTCGGAGACAAGAAGAACGAATAGCTCAAAACAAAATTTGTTTAGCGTACGGCTTGCCACGAGGAGCTTCCGATGGGAGGATGACTCGGAAAAACAGAATTATCGTTTCAGGAACACCTCTTAGTTTATCCGTTCCCAACATGCCACCAGCTCATTTCTTGAGCTCGACATATGATCTATCAAATAGCACAATAAAGACCGACGCGTCGCTCCCAGGGAATAATTCCTCTCAGTTAACTAATCTTGCGACGAGAATACCGCGCTCGATTCCCGGAATCGCAGCAACGCGTCAGGAAGAAACTCACGGTTGAAATTTAAGCACCCGATTTGAGACACTCCGGTTTCGGAAACTTGTGCTCCCCGACCATGCTGGCAGTGATTCCGAAGGAGGCCACTGCTTTTTCAGCAGCGACTTGTGTGGCTCTTTTCTTCGTAAGACACAGCGTGGGGTACGATCGGAAAGTCACGTCGCCAACCGAGAGTATGCAATAGAAAACTGCCTCTAACGGCATGAAGGTTACGTTGTACGACGGTGGCTTCAAACTATGATACGCGCAGAAGAGCTCGAGAGCTCTGCACGGATCGTCGACTTCCTCCCCAGTTTTCTTCTTCGTCCACTGGAATTTGCTGGTTTTTTCTTTGACCCACGCGCGGCATCCCGAGGATATCGATTCGTTCAGGGATGAGAGGGGAGAAGTCCGGTCGAATGAGTTCTTTACGTTATCGGTGCTCAACTGCGAGCCTCCATGACGCGTATTATCTTCCGAGACTTCTCCCGGGAGGCTGTCTGATGACATCGGAGACGAAACAAGTTCGGCGGCGCTGGAGCTCAGTGAAAGCTTTGAAAAACCGTCGAGCTCGTTCCCGTCGCTTGGACTCCTGAGATGAATGTCGTTGCGGTCCGCCTTCGGAGACGATTCCTTACACGAGTCGAAGCCATTCGGGCCGGTGAGCGTTTCTCCGGGGGACAGTTCCTGGAAACTCTCCGTGTCTATAGTATTTGAGGTGTCTCGGTCTTGGTTTTGCTTCAACCCGCGTTCGGGAATGGAGTCATCCGCTGAACTCCACCGAGTATTGTTCTCCCATTCCATGTCTATGCCTCCGGTACCATTCCCTTTGAAGAGACTCATTGGTATATTCACCCGCACTCTTTCGAGTATGTGTTTCTTCGCGTTGGCCAAGACTTCGAGCTCCTCCTTAAGCTCGCGAGTTTCGACATCTTCCCCAGAATCCACAAACTGCGAGAATGGAAATAAACTATTAGGAGAATTCGAATATTTTTGTGCGAGTACATATTACATCTTCGAAGGGTCTCCCCGGCGATTTCGAATAGACGGATTCAGATGAATCGAATCGGTTCGAACAATTTGACCGAATGCTCGGCTAGGGACGAACTGCATGGCAGAAGAATTCGCTCGGATTCTCTTTTTGAGGCATATGAAACCCGAGATCCCGCTTCGCATGGAGCGTTTTCGATGATACTTGCTTCTCATGGTGTGGAGCAGAATCTCGGTATTTCGACGCGTGGAATTCCATGCTGAGGAAAACATCAGGCATAGATCTCATATTCCTCTGCGAATGCAGCCGGAGTACAAACGAGATTACTGAGGTCCGATAATGTGTCGATCAAAGTTAATCGGCGCAAGAGATAATTCTCTATCCGGACTCTAAAAGCTGATGAGCCGAGCGAGATCATTGCAGACGAATTAGCCTCGTCCTCGCATTTCCGAACACGCGGAAAGCATCATTGGGATTGTCCTCGCCACCGTCAACGTTTCGCTGACTCTCCTCAGGCTCACAAATCTCCACAATTTCGGTTACCTATGTGAGATTTTTCGAACAAAAACTCCGTCTCCCGACCCACCGTGTAATATCCGCGCCTGGTTCTTCTGATATGTTGGGAATCGAGCAACTTCTCGAGGATGCACAAGTTGGTTTTCATGTCAAGACTCGGGAAAAACTCCGCCAGGATCTTGAGGGTGAGGAAGCCCGATACTCGGCTCGCGTGTCTGGCCAGGAGCACCAGCTCACGGATAGGTAGATCCTTGCTGTAAGAGATCGGTGTCATCTCCAGGATCTCGGAACGACTCCTCACAAAAATTCACTTCTTCCTTCTTTTCCTTCCGTCGAGCCCGACTTCCAGCGAATCCGCGTCTTTATGCGGCACAACGATGACAGAATTCTTGAGGGTCTCACTGACAATGGTGAGACGATCAAGTGGAAATCGAGACGAACACTTGCTTGTGAGGGAGAAGGCGCTGCGCGCTTCCGTCGCTTTGGATTTTCGTGGAATTCGTTCGATTGCTCGGCGAGTGGACCAATCGAAATAAGAGATGAGAAGAATCCCGCGATGGAAGTCTTCTCCGGAATCGAGGGCATGCAGATACTTTCTAGCGCCTATTGGAATATTTTTACCGTTTATTTGTGAGAAATATTTCCCCCATCCCCTAATCCCATGAACACAGTGCCACATGCTCAAGTGGTAGACAACCACCGAGGAAGATGCGTCGGGCTAATATGGAAGCATCTGAGCCCAGTCCCATAGAGTCTGACATTGGAAGGTCGGAGTTCGGTGATTGGTTGATCAGGAGCAGGAGAGGAACGAAGAGTCTTCCCGTGAGATTTTCGCATCCCGTATAGCGACGAGGACGCATGGTGCACATAGATCAATACTTGGTGGTCTGGACCTTATTAATCGGGTCCCGGCTTACCCACGAATGGCGCATCCTATTAGCAAGGCGGGCCTCTCCGAAAACGGGATATTCAGAGAAGAGAGGAGTCCGACAGGAAGTATGACTGCCAGCGACATTCCTCCGCTGAGATCTATAACCTCAGCTCGGAGTTTCGGCGTGTGTCATTCATAAAATTCAGATTCAGTGAGGGCTCAATCAATTCAGGTGGAAAACTTGACGCGGGGCGGTAAGAGACTCGAATTCGAACCTTCTCATTTTTGAGATATCGAAGCAATCGACACCCCCTCACAGGAATCGATGTGACCAATTCCAACTCCTACGGAACTGGCGCGAACGATGCGACGGAAGCTGTGGAGACAGCCCGCGATTCTTCAGCAAGATCAGAATCGGGCAAGCCGGTGCCGTTCCGTCTGTCGACGGAAATATCTACCCCTTTGACTTGTAATGAGATCAAATGACTCAGTGAGGAATGTCAAGCTGTATAATCTTTAGAGGCGTGGTGTCGTTCCGGCAGTAGGCTGTTACCGACCGCGTTCTCTGATCAAGAACATCGTGAACTCGAGGATGACTAGTTTGGGAAGTTCGTCACGGGTTCGCGGCGGACGATACAGACTCAGCCGAAGATATTATGTGTCATTTCGAAGCTAGCTGTCCTTGTCATCCCGTGATCTCCAACCCCAGCCCCTTAGGGGATGACCAGCTCAATGTGTCTGATTTCGAATTCGCCTCCACTGTCTCTCCATTCCTCTTTCAGATTCTATTTACATGAGCTGTCTTTTGATCATTCTCTTCACTCCTGGCTCTCGAGAGCACTACGTTCAGCTACTCCCGAAACCAGGCTCTGGAATAATTCATATCATTCCCGAACACAAATGAACTTGTCTGATCAATGCTACAACATTTTCTCTCTCGATGGCCCACCGCCTGCACGATCGTAGACTCTCCGTCGAGTTCTTCCTGGATATCAATCTGCGAGTGAGAGACAGCCATCTGAGGCGCAAAAATTCACGCCAGATTCAGAGCAATGCTCGTTCGAGCCGACAGATATTTTCCACCGCTCGAAGGGGAAACAGAAATGAGTCTCCGGCTGGTTTACGCGGTATAGAACCCGAGTATCAGCCCCGTGTGCAACTTCGTTCCGAAGCTCGTGGAACCCTCATCAGGGCAGGACTCATTCGGTGAACTAATACCGAACCAATGTTTCACAAATTCTCATATCAACCCTTGTCGACGAAAGCGTACATATCTTGCGAAGGCATCGAGTTTCGGTGGAGTTCCGACGAAGCGAGCTCGTCATTCTGAGTGGGTCGAATTCGACGCTCGAGTGAGCACGAGACGGGAGCTATTTTGACTAGGACCGAATTAATGCAAGCCGACGACTGTGTATTATAGACGAGTTCCCCGTCGTAGGGTCGCTCGGTCGTTTGCTCGGCCGCTGGGTCGGGTGGCTGGTTGGTGTTCATTAGAGAGAGTCTTTGTACGCGGCCATTATTCGTCAGGGAAACGAAAACACGGATCCGGGAGCGGTTCGATGTGCGAGCATAGACTCAACCTTAGTAATAACTCGGAAAACATTGTCGTTGAAAGGAGGCATTAGGCGTGGGGCTGAGAGCACTTCATAGTTCCGAGACTGCTCGTACGGAGGGAAAATCTACCGGACCCCGATCCGGAGGGGCGGGGATTCGCTGAGTGGAATTCCGGAATTCCATGATGTCTGTCCGCTTTCCCGGCCGTTGGTCTTGGATGTGCGGAGCCTTGAATTGGCGAAGGGACCAACCATTCAAAAGGGTCACCTGACGATTCACAATCCTATATAGAGCACGTTTCTCTTTCTAGGCACGAATGAATTTAAAGCGTGCCTCGAGTGACCGGCCGGGGATTACAACAAAGTCTTCCCCGAGCGCGCGCGGGAGAAGGAGCCGGGGAACAAGAGTCTTTTTGTCAGCCGCTTAGACACCACGTCGACAACAAGTCCATCCGAGGCCAACGTGACTTCATATGTAAATTCCCAAGAGCGCGAGATCCTGATCTGAGATTTCGACTGATGTATGGAAAACAGTTTATGAAACCAGCTCCGCACACTTCAGGCCATCCCACTGGAAAGTTATTCTGAGAGAGCTCAATGGGCGCAGGGCTCTTCCCGAAGCGGAAAATACTTAGCGACTCTGTTCTTGATTGGATGGTTCTCCAGCGTCTCGAATACTTGCGCCGAGGCTACGGTCACATCTGGTTCGAACCCCCTGAGACTGCATGTGTAAAGCCGTTCGAACGAGCTCGGTTTATCTGGCCTCGGAGGAGAATCCGTCTCTCGGAAGAAAATCGCAGAGTTCCCTCCCAGAGTGTCTCGCTGCAAACATCCGATTTCGACGAAAACGCTCTCCATCTGAAGCGGACCGATCTTGGAAATTCTTCCTACAGTTCGAGACTGACTCCCAGAATCCAGGGCCTGAATGAGATAATACTTGGTGAAATCCTGACGATCTGCGATCGAAATCGAGATCGACCCGATAATACGTCGCGTCGTGACTCGTATCGAATCGCTAGCTTTCCGGACTCAGCCATATCTTCCTCATCCAAGGTCACATGAAGCGAATGATGAGCCCCAAGTATTTCTTGTCGGCTATCGTCCTTGTATTCGAATCCGCTCGTATCGATTCGCCTCATCCCAGCTCAATCCTCTCCATCATTCTGATTCGTTCGTGGCGTTTGTTATCCAATCGCTCAGTTCCCCAGAGTTGTAAGTTATTCATTGAGACCGGGTGATGTGACCCTCGGGCTGAGATGTGACCCTTGAGTGAGTGTCAAGCGGACCGACCTCGACAGCGCCCACCGTGGGGGTCCAGACCTTGACGGCGGTAGGAGTCTGAGGCATTTCATCGGCTCGGGGTTGATACCTCCGACGAGAGGGAGGGAAACGGGAGTAGTTTTCGGATAATCACGATCACACATCGAGATGCGGAAGCCTTCGAGCCGCCGATATTAAGGAGGTCGACGAGCTCGCTGTGCGGGGTTAAATGGATGACGAAAATTCACATCAACGTGGAGAACAACCGGCGAACCAGAAAACCGGGGCGGAAACATTTCTCCTCTGATTCGAGAACCTCGGACGAATCGATTCCGTCGCTCGGACTCCATCGAAAGCGTTGCGCAGCAACAGTGGGACCTCAAAGCAATGGAGCGAGTGTGTCCTGTTTCGGTGAAAGTACATATTTGATCAGAGTTGGAAAACATCAATTCCGCTGTTTGCCTTTGGTTCGTTGGCTTCTTCCGAGTGAACTTTTTGTTGCAGCCGGCTTGTAACTCGGTTGCAGCTTCACTCCAGCTTACTTGTATGTAGTCCCGTAAGCCGATTTTGAACTTCTTAGAAGTCTATGGCCGCCAGCATCAAGGTCGCCGCAAAGCCCCGGAGAACGAGGTCAGTTTCTCGATTCCTCCCTCCCAGCCCCTCCGGCCTCCGCTCATTCCGAGAGAGCTGAACAGGAATAAGTCGCCTCACGAACAACAGCGGAGGAGAGAAAAAATCCTCGCAGTCGAGAGCTTCTCGTTTCACATATTCTACTCGGGAGGAGAGATCATGAGACTTTAGTCTCCGGTATCGAGAAAGAATACTTGAGCCGCGCCGAGTCGAAGGCTACACAGTAGTTCTCGAACAGCTTCTAAGAACTCGAGAGAATCGAGGAGCTCGGACGCATCCATTCTTGCGAATCCAGAGAGAGTAGAGCTCCAACCAGAATTTTTCGTAATGGTCAAGGTCGAACCTTAAGGTATCGTCGGGAACTTCACCGATCCATTTCGACCTTCGAACGAGCTCCGACCGAGCAATAGAACACCATCAACTGTGTGGGGGGCGGGGGAAGTTCCCGACCGATAAGCGAATGTTCCGACGACTATGGGGAACTCTGAAGCTCTCGGCGCGTCGCGCGAGTAGCACACTGCGATGAAGACGCTCGAGACTCTTTGTTATCTCCATCCTGTTGTCGCTTCCGAATCAACGCTAAAACAATGGGCTTGTTGACAGACAAGTCACTTAAAGCCTTGAATCTCTAAGGAGTTGCAGTCATGGAGCAATCATTCAAATGAGCTCGCTCCGCTTCTCTCTCCCCACGCTCCCTTTGGAGGTGGCGATTCAAACCGAATATAGACAATGGAAACGCGGGACTACTTGACCAACTCCTTCATTCAGAGTTCTGGAGGGGGCTTGACGGAATCCGTGGAACTCTTTTGATTAGATTTCCGGTTCGAGGAATCATTCGGGTCACTAGTGGGCATCCAATCTCGAAACTCGTCGCCGAGGAATTCGGATCCTGAACTCGGCGAGTGAGTTTGCTACCGTCACTTGGCTTGATCAAGACCATGTCACACCAATCGTGAAAAACCCGGAGCAAAAACAAGGTTGACGCTGATGAGATCGGCGATCTAGGTCTCCAATGACCCACGGCTCGTCCCAGCGCGGATATTCTCCTTGGTTCCTATTTTCCCATTCTTTCGACTGCAGCATAGGCAAGCTCTA